AGGGTCATATAAATTATGATTTTAGGGCAGAAGTATTTCTTCTTTTGCCTAGAGCATCCTTTCAACCATAGGTCCACTTAGTGTGACTGAATTACATTGCGTTTCTAGCTACTTCAAGGATTTAAACATACAGTTGAGATCATGATATCGTCCACAAAATAGACTCCCTGTTCTTACCAAATCTGTCTTGTTAGAAAAGAAAGAACCAAGCTGTCCCCAAGACCCTGAATTAATGTCTTAAAATCAGATCTGAATATTCCAGGAAACTTTTGCAGAGTTTTCTGTTCGTATGTTGCAGATACTGTACAGATGATATGCTCCAAAGGGAAATGATGTCTACGCCTCTTCTGAACTATTATGGTGTTATCATCTTGGATGATGTGCACGAAAGAACCGTTGCAACAGATGCGTTACTTGGCTTACTTAAAGATGTCTTGATATCAAGACCAGAACTGAGGCTGGTAATACTCACTGCACCTCATATGTCCAGCAAACTGCAGAATTATTATGGCAGCATCCCCATCATAAGGGTGGAAAACAAACACCACGCAGAGGTGGTATACTCTTGCAGCGTTCAGAAAGACCACTTTCTGTCTGCACTAAAACTGCTCTTTGAGATACACCACACAAAAGAGAAGGGTGACATTGTGATCTTTCTGGCATGTGAGCAAGTAAGTTATTAACCAATTCCAATTATTTCTGATTTGAATCAAGCAACAGTTTACATCTGTGTTTTTATATGATCTATAAATATCTTGTTGCCAGTATCTAAGACAGCAGAGAGTGCCAACAGTTTTTATCATTTCAGGTTTTTCCTACGAAGAAGTTATGGTATACATAACACTGTATTATATATATAGCCTAAGTTAATACAAGGAATTTGTAGATTTTCTGTAGGCTTAAAGAAAGGCCATCATCCTTCCGCATCATGCAAAAAGTAGGAAAGGTGGCATACAGGGATGGGGCCATAGATACAGGCAGTTAACACAATGCAACCTATTCTGGCATCGGGTACCCCACACTTTGTGCTACCCCTGTTTTGCAGGAAGGGACATGTGTCCAGTTTGCACAGGTGTCCTACTTCACATGAATGTTTTTACCTTAAACCTGCCTACAAGGTTTTTCCATTTCCATCCTCCTTTACGGCTCGAAACTTCCCAACCATTTGTGTGCACCACAGCAGGAGGCAAATGTCAGTCCAGATGTGCTACAGATAATGCAGAAATCTGCATGGGCTTGGCTATTCTAAATAGCGGCATCACTAAATCCCTCAAGACAGCAGTAACGCCCCAAATTCACTGCTGCATCATCATGTCCTCCTGAAAAAAATTTCACAGTACTTTATAGCTGTCAGAGCAGTCTGTCCATCAAATAAACATTTTAAGACTTGAAATTCTTATAAATTATTAATTTCCCGATAGTGTTCTTCAACCCTCCACTTTGTATCATTGAATCTGCTTTAGAACAACAAATTTGCCCTAGTAGCTCCAGAAGAGAATGAGTCTCCACAAGCACAGACCAATTACCATCATCTACCCAGGTGGTATTGCTTTTCACTGTAAAAAGGGATGGACATGTAACACTTTTAATAATGCTAAGGATCAGCTGTAAACTTTATAGACACCAATTTTACAAATGATGAATTAATGAATTCCCTGTATCAGTTCCCATATTTACAGTAAGTAATGTTAGAGAGAAAACATAGTCTTTCCCTTTCAAAGGGCTTTGAAGAAAGCTTTATTTCTGCTGAAAAACTATTTGATGGTCAAGTCCCACACAATACTAAAATAACAGTTTCTTTCTTACTGAGATTACTTAGTTCTCGCTCCCACGATGAACAAAAGACTCGTTATGAACTGTTACTCCACAGTTCACATCCCATGCATTCTTGCTTAACCGTGATTTAAAGTTTTAATATATTGTTAATGGCTCACTGTTCCCTAGCATTCAACTGTCTTTTAAACCGAACAAAAATATGAATAAACTAAGAACATTAAGATTTATGTGTTGTCTTCATGACAGCCTTGCTGTTAGATGCCACTGTCATATCTCTATAAGAATTTTTATAGAATACTTTCAACATGTAACTATTACGAATGTAGTGGCACTGTCAAATAGAAACTCAATCTGGTTTTTCAATTTTGAAACATGTTTGCTCATAAAACTGCTTTTGAAAAAGAAAAATCCCTTTCAAACTGAACAAGTCTATGATCGATTTTTGTATACCTTCAAAACAAATCGTTCACAAACACAAACGATTTTATATTTTAAAGACTAAAAACAACAATAAACAACCCTTTTTGCAATTTATATTCGATCTCTGAATTTGTGGACTGTCTTAAAGGTGATGTTCCATTAACGCAGTTTAGAGACGTTTTATTGACTTTTTAAAGTCTTCATAGAGTTTATTAATCATTAGGGAAAAAAAAAAAAAAAAACCAAAACAAAAAAACAAAACAATAAAAACCATTACAATACTTGTATTTTCTTAAACATAATAATTAAGGTAAAGTAGGGAGGTTTCTGCATACTTTGATCATTTTATGTATTGTAATTGGACTAAGAACACAACAGTATTTCCCACAGTGACCTAAGCAGGGGCTCTGCCATTTCAGTCCTTCCAGTGATGGGGACAGCCGGGATCAGAGGGAGTCGGAGCAGGGATTTGCTGTGATCTCTCCTGACTCAGGGGCACCCGTGCACATCGCACCGTGGCCAGCAGCACAGGGCACCCCGTTGCCAACCCCGGGGCACGCTGTGCCCCCGTAAAGAGCTCTCTCCCAGAGGACACTCAGGGCACCCACCTTGGTTCCAGCAGAAGAGAAAACATTTTGGGCACACGAGAGGGTACCTGAGTATCTGCTACAGCACTTCCAGCCCTACACACATGGCAAATTTTTACCAAACTCTTTGGCACTAAATCAGTAACGTGGATGCATCCTACATGTCCTATATATATAAAGTTTAGTGACCAGCTCCCACCGTTGGTTTAGATATGATTAAAGCTAAAGAAGACTATTCTGAAAATTGCTGGAAAGAAATTTCAAAAACCCGCTCAGCTTTCCCTTGGTCTACAGTTAGTAGGTACAATCAGTACAATCTCATACATAGTTCTCTGCTTTGTTCCCTTTAATTATTAATCATGTAAGATTTAAATGTTTTGATAGTTCGATACATAGTTAAAATTCACTTCAGAATAAAAAAAAAATCTTTAAAATTAAATATTGAGATTTGTTTTTCATACTCATGAGGGAAAAAATAAAATAAACAAATCTTTCTCCTGATTACAGGAAATTGAAAAAGCTTACCAAATGATTAGACAGGAACAGTCTAATTTAAACCCTGACCTTGGAGAACTCATCCCTATTCCTTTATACCCGACAAAACAAGATCTAATTCCCAAACCAAATCAAGACAAACAGAAATGCTGCAAAAAATACAGAAGAAAAGTGCTACTCACCACAAGCTTTGGAGAATCTTTGATTTGGATTAAAAATGTAACCTTTGTCATTGATGTTGGTGTTGAAAGAAGAAAGGTTGGTAAAGTTAACCAGAATTAGTATGTCAAATAAACTATGCATAAAGTGGGGTTTTTTTTCATGGTGGGGGAAAGGGAAATGTGCAGTTAGTAGGTTGATGCAAATGGTTTCTAAAGGATCAAATATTTTTTTATTCTTTCATAAGTCAGATTCTATGATAGCATTAACATTTGTGTTAACACATTTTAAATAACTTTCATGGACACGTCATGTGAAAACCAAGCAAGAAAACAGTTACTTCCTAAATTCCACCAGAAAACAAAATTTTCAACTTTCTAAAGCCAGAATAGCACTCTCAGCTGAAACTGCCACTCATCTGGGCACCAAACCAATGACTTTTCCTTTGAAAACTGTATCTCATTTTAGTTTTAGCCTATCAGTCATAATTATCTCTTCAGTATCTTACAGATAGAGCAAAAGTTCTTGGCTACCTAATGGCAAATTACCCGGTTTAGTAGATTAACCTCATCTCACATTTAACAACTTCGTAATCAGCATAGTGCCAGAGATATGTAACAGCAAGAGATGCCCACACAGGGAATCACTCCTTTTTAAAGCTGCTTGTGTTCCTTCCGGATCCATGACACTGTCATTTTTAAAGGTTCTCATATGGAGGTTATAAACTAAGTCAGCATCAAATCAAAGGGGAAAAAAAAAAAAAAAAAAAAAAAAAAGGCTTTTGTATGAAACAAATGAAAGCCTAAAAAGCAGTTTTCATGCATAACTCAACTTATTTCTGAAGCTACAGTTGTCTTGAATGATGGAAATGAATCTCATTTCCATGGTAATCTGAAGCCCAAGCAAATTTTAGTGCTTCCAGACTTCTCTGAATCAGAAATATGAAGCAATGGGAACAAATCAGTTTCAACACCTCTATGGGTTACATCATTTTTACCCTTTAATTCAACTATTTTGTCCTAACAGTTAAAGTTTAGTTCTCTAATATTCATTCCTCAGCAGCTCAAATTCACATTCAATCCATACGGCTGAAAGTCAGTTGAACATAGAGGGAACAGGCAAAGGTTTGTGCAGAACAAAAATCCTGTGTAAGTCTCGCTGTTGGGATATACAATAAATTTACCTGGAGGAAAAGAAATTTGTTCCCTGTACTGAAGCACATTTTATCTTTTTTATTAAAACCCTGCTTAAAGTAGACAAAGTCGATTCAGATGACATGACTAGGAAGTTGCCTTATTTAATGTCTTGACTATACTACAGGTGCTTATGGACATCATCTAGTGGTCAGAACAGCAAGTGAATTAGTTCATCAGCTTAATCAAAATAAAGTACAATTAAGAAAAAAATTAAATGGGGCATTGTGCACCTATGTTAGTGTCCTTGTCTCCTGTACTGAATCGACAGATTTCAGCATTAAGACAAAAAGCTGGAGTTATGGAACAAAATGTCATCAGACAACGTTGGGATTCTGTCATTGGAAGAAATAAATAATCTTTTTTGATGCTTTTCTTGATGATAGCATAGATATACATTTTGTGCTCTAAAGTACATTTCTTCAGAAAAAGACATTTATCTTAGAGTGTACTTACAGAGTTATTGCAAAACGTGTCTGTCAATTTATCAAAGTGCTGACTGCTCTCATTTCCAAGCTGGTGAAATACGTAGCATAAAAAGAAATGAAACTGTTACTACACTTTCTGTAAAATGACCTAGACAAAAAATTCAATACAAGACCATTAATATTTTTGTAGTCTTCACACACTTATCTGATGCTTAATATCTCTTTCATTTAAAGGTGTACAATCCTAGAATCAGAGCAGACTCTGTTATAACGCAGCCTATCAGCAAAAGTCAAGCAGAGATGCATAAACAAATTCTGGGCATGTCTCCATCAGGTAGAACTATTAGCTCAAAATTTCAATTCATTAGCTCAAATTCTTAATAGAATCAAAGTGGCAATGAAAAAAAAAAAAAAAAAAAAAAAAAATTCCTAACGTCTCTTCCAGGAAAAATCTTCTGCTTGTATCCTGAAGAATTTACATACAAAGAAATGAAACCACAGCTACCAGCCAAAATACAGGAATCCAACCTAACTAACATGGTTCTCTTCTTGAAGAGGATGGATATAGCAGGCTTAGGACACTGTGACTTCATAAGTAGGCCAGGTAATGATGATGCAGCAATTTTCCATATTTTTACTTTTATTTTTGCAGTTATTTAAAGGTTAATTTCACCCTGTTATTCACTGTATTGTTTTTTATTTAATACTTGTAATAATATCGCTGCTGATTTTACCATTTACCCACCAGAACAGTTCACAATGCAATAGCTGCACTTAGAGAGATGGTACCAAGTATGAACTGTTTGCTCTGAAAAAGACCATAAAGTATCTGAATGGAATTGGAATAGAAAAAAAAGAAAAAAAAAAAAAATCAATATTCCAAATAACTTTTCATCTAGCTTTCATATTATCTTCCTGGAACCCACAAAGAAAATTTGTGTCCCATTGTACAGGGCATTGTACAGATATCTAACAAAATATATTCCTTTAATCAAAAGTTTACAGTCCAAATAAACTACTGTTGTTACCTAGGAGATATATTTGGAGGAAATCAGCTTTCTTCTTATCCTCCAGCATCTCCCACCTCAAATTTACAATAAGCTGTTACTTAATGATGATATTATTTACAAAATCAACCCAAATAAACTTTCGAAACTAGAGAGGGAATATGCTGAATTTTGAGGTAAGAGTATGAAGAAAGTGGTCGCTTATTTTTTTAAATTTTTCTGACTTCATATCTTTATACTTTTTGTACAGAAGGATATTTTACTCTGTTCTGACCTACCACAGACCTAAAACCCAAGTACCACTGCAAATTCTGCTGATGGTTTGAAGGCAATTGAAGTGAGGGAAATAGCACTGATTCCACCACTTTGGGGATCATGTGACCTATGGCTAGCTTCATTTACGATAATTTTCCAGGGCATGAGGAAAAATTCTTGTATTATCCTCCCTTTTCTCATGCACATACACAAAATTAGAATGGTCACTTGCCTGCTAAGTGTTGTGCACTGTAATTAATCAGTAATAAAGAGTTTAATTCCCACTGTTGGATGTTGTGATAGATTGTAAGTGGAATTTTTAAGTATAATTTATTCTACTTTTCCCATGTCTGCCTCTTTAGCAGAAACATGCCTAGAGGAAATGTGAAAAAAACATTGTCAGTCTGAGTGGTAACTAATTCAAGATTGATGAGAACCAAAATATTTTGGCCTTGTGAGTGTCACCTCCTGTGTTGAATCTGGGAAACCTTCATGGAAAAATGATTATGGAATACAGTTGGCTTCTACTTAAAATTAGAAAGCATTTTACTAAAAAAAAAAAAATATCCTAAAATGTATTAGTGCCGTTATTGGATATGAAGAAAGTTGCTCTTGAACTGTACAATGAATTAGTAAAGTTATATTAGGAAAAACATTCATTATTTTGTGATTTAAAGGCACAATAGAGGCAGTTGATATTCAGAGAGAATGAAATGGTAGAGGCATTTAAGGATTTCACAGATGTAGGAATTCTAAGTTTTGTCTGTATTTTTGAGATAATGCAGCTGAAGAAAGCATCCTGCTGATGTGTACAAAATTGTAAAGGCATTTGACGAATGCATCAGCTTAACTTGGACGGGCATCAAATATGAAAAAGTTTTTGCTAACCAGCTCAAAACGTGAGGTCAAGGTATTGAAAATTTTGAGGAATTACTGAAACAGTGTGAGGAATGTTAGACAAACTGTTTGAACAAAGAAAAAAAAAAAAAATCCCACAAAGGGAGATGTGAAAGTCTGCACAATTTCCTGGTCTTCTTCTCATCTTAAGGCCTCACACAATTAAATATTTGAAACGCTGCTTTAACAACTCTTCCTTTATAGATCACATTCAGGCTTTCTTTGCCTTGGGGCTTTCTTTTTCCCACTTCTGAGCAGGGAACAAACCTCTTTCCTACTAACACTTAAGTTATATCCCTACCACAGTTCTCCGGAGATGACTATAAATCTCACACTATCAGAATACAGACAGCTTGAAGTACCTGGTGTAAAATCCATTTGCTTGAAAGAAACGAGAATACTGAAGCAAGCAAATTTGTAAGGGGAGTTAGTTATTTATAAGAACTTACAGAACTCAAGACATCGCTTTCAAGCACATAAAACCTTCTTTTGGGTCCTTCATCCTCCCGAGAGCTTTGGGTCAGTGATCTCAGCCTGTGAAAGCCCAAGTTTTCTCAATTCTGTGCTGAGATTGCCCCAACCTGCCACGCACAGAAGCAGAGAGTCACCCTAAAGCCACACCACGGAGTCCTTCCTGCCCAGCTCCGGGCACCTCTGGTACCCAGTTAAAGGGTGGCTCTGAAGCTTTTTCATTGCTAGCAGATGTTAAACCTTTCTGGGTTATGCACTGCAGGAGAGGGTTGTGGAGGAGGCAAAGAGAAGAGCTATCACACATGGAAAGCATCCATCCTCCCTTGAGGAAGAGAGTTTAGTTTTCCAAAAAGGCTTCAGTATCGTTGCTCCAGTCAGTTTAGTTGCATAAGCCTTCAGCAAGCCCAAGTGATGAGCAAGACTGAGGAAGAGGAGGAGGTGTCTCTGAGATGGTGTTCAGATCTAAGAGAAAAAGATGAGCGACATTGCTCACAAACAGTGTGGCTTTTCCAACCCTAAGAAAAACTCCAGGGCATAACAGTTGTTATTCACAACTACTACGGATATATACAAAGTCAATTTGTCCATCCTCAACCAAACATGGCACAAGATCAACTGGATCAAAAAACCCCACAAACAAGCCAACAAAATGACATGGCAGTATTTTCTATATTTTCTGACCTGGCCAGATCAAGTGATGTTCAGAGCACACAAACACTAAGAACACAAATAGCCTTTCTATCTCTACTCAGCACAGTTTGTCCTGGGCTTGAAAAGTCCATATTTCTTCACCTCCTTGGACTTAATCTCCCTTTGAGTAAAGGGAGTAAACACTGCAGAATCTTCCACGTGCCACGCACGCCACAAGCTTTCCTACGCACCGTTTTTGTTCAGCTAACATCCTCAAGTTTTCTTTGCAATCTAAACAGATGGAGGCTTTGGGGGTTTTTTAATCCAAGGTACATTTCTCCTAAACAAAATAATGTTTTCACTGAGATGACAGAGAGACATATGAACGTGAACTGGTGAACAAACAAATCAAAAATACACTGAAATTCATAGCAAGAATTCAAAGAGAAGTACTTCAGCGTCCACTCCTTGTACACGAAGCAGAGAACATACAGCAAGATAAGAAACAAAAATTACATCAGTAAAACATTTTATTTCTGCTCAACCACAATGTGCACAAGGTTGGGTTTTTTTCTTTTTTTTCTGCTGCTCTTTGAGGAAAAAGAAAAGCCTGGATTAACTCTGACTCATTACTGCATTATGAAAGCAACAAACATGTCAGGCTTACAGCTGCTGCATTTAATTCACGCTATAATCGAGATGAGCAAATGCAGCAGACTTGTTACCCTTTTTAGAATTCATGAGCCATATGAAAATGTATTTGGCACTGCAGTTCTAAAGTGCATTATTTGAATTCCTGTGCCACTCTAATAGTGATGTGTTTACATTTTTATCAGTTAATCAGCTAGATCTTTGCTCTGTTATACCATGGGACAAAAGAACTCCTTTCCCATAGATTGCAGCAACAGTATGTATTTTTGTAAATCACTGGAAAATCCTTATTTAAACTAGGCAAATCAGTATGATGACAAAACCATTTAAAATTTCCGTGAGAAATCAAGGTGAAGGCAGTTTGCAGATTCTGCATTCACGCAGAATTACCGTAAACAATTTTCAGATTGAAATATTTGTGGATAGTCATGGATACTGTGACATTTGAGAACTATGTTATTATAACCCCACTGAGGATATATTTCTGGAATATCCATAATAATAAGAGTTCTATAAATGCATATAATCTCAAATTGTTTCAGAAAGTAATTTGTTCGCTTATTTTTTCATTAGAAACAGACTGTCAAAGTCAGAAACTCTATGTGCCATGTAAAGTCTGCTCAACAGAGATCACTTGATGGCGAATTTATTATCTGAAGTTCACTTGTTGATTATTTGATGTTTAAATTTCTGAATTTCACTGATTAAAAGCTTTCTGATAGCATAGACATGGCCACATACTTCATAGTCTGCACTGCACAAATCAGTGGAAAAGCATAAAAGGAACTGGAGGAGGTAAGGACCAGACAGCAAACACACAGAGGGAGCAAAGTATGGAGCAGAGAACCTGACCCTTAGCAGCAGTCCCATATCCATGGGACAGGAGGCCTCAGGAATGGGAGTCAGGGCAGCATGTACAGCCCCATAACTGAGCATATAGCACAGAATCCCAGAATCATCTCTGTTGGAAAAGAGCTTGAAGATCATCCAGTCCAACCATTAACCTCCCACTGACCATTCTAAACCACGCCGAAGGTAGCCAACTGCTCGGAACGGGAGCTGGTATCCCAAAGGGCATCCCAAAAATGAGAGGGGGTAGCCAAGTCCTGTTAAAGCTGGACTACTCTCATGTCATTTACTAGAGAGCAATAAAAGAAACCAAAGTGATTAAAAATATTCTGCCATTATATAATATACTTTAAATTATGCTCTTTGTGGATATACACACTGAACAGTCATGTATGTGCTTTGAGGATCACACAAAGCTGATGGAAAACCAACTTCACCAAACAGCCAGTGCTATCCGTGCTGTGTGGATATTTTTTGGTATATTTGTGTTAGGAAAATGAAGGTCATCCTCTATCCTGGCTGTCCCTGCTGGCAGAAAGGCACAGGAGGGACCATTCCCAGCCAGCCTGGAGGAGTGAAGAAGCAGCATAAGGGGGAATGGAAAGACTGCAAAGTATGAGTTTGGAAAAGTAATTTTTAATGATCGACTATAACTATAATTTCAAAAGAATAGTTATAGAATTGGTGGCTTCAGAGCATGACAGAATCATTAAAAAAATCCTACCTCAGAAGTTTTAGGAGAAAAAAAAAGAGAATCAAGATGAAACCCGCACACAGAAGCTTGTCCTTGCAGAAGAAAAACCTTCGCATAATTTGAAGAAAACTTGGCACTAGATTTCTTCATATCTTCAGTTTGCTATCCAAGGAGCAATGTTAAAAAACAATAACAGAAAAAGCCATTCCACAGAATTATTCTCCCTGCAGTAATTACTTTGGCAGTTCTTCATGCTGTTAAGCCTAACAGAAGCTGGAAAACCGTGTGGTTTGCCAGGCAGTGAATCAGCTCTTCAGAGATAACATCCCTTCAGCTGACATTCATGTCAGCTCTAACTATATAACAGTTATTTCTGTGGAAGGTAAAGATCTATCAGAAAAAGGTATTTTACGTACTCAACATTTTCATAGAGTAGGAGACCAGAACACAGGACCTGTAGATCCTCCAGGTAAACACGATATAGCAGTTAAACGGACTATTAAAAATAATTAAATTTACATTTCATTCCTCTCTCTAATATTGGCTCATTACAGAACTTTGGGCAACTTGCTAAATCCCTTGCTTCCTTATGCAATTATACTTTTGTATTTATTTTATCACACCTTCAGCACTTCCATTTCAGCCATGTAGGATGTGATAGTGAAAAGATTAAAGGCACAGCTACCTTTAGAAACATAACTTACTCTGTTTGTGTCAAAGTTACAAAAAACTATCAAATGAAGAATAGAATTTTAAGTCAGCTTGAAACTCTCGGATAAAAGATTTCAGTGCTAATGATAACATTTAGTTATAGATTTGCTTTACTAAACCTAAATATGATCAAGAGTAGAATCTGTATTTATACAAAACTGGTCAGATTTCCTGAAACAAATCCAGAGCAACCAGTGTTAAGTAGCCAAAGAACACAGGCAAGGGAAAGAAAATATCAGATAAGGAAATACCTTTTAAAATGCCAGGAACGTCAGAGAGTTTCTTGTTGAAAGCACAGGACACATCTTGAGAGCTTCTTTTTAACTTTGCTCCGGTGAAAGCAGCAGTCAAGTCACAAAGCCTTGCGGTTTGCCTCGACGGCAGCAGTGGTTGGTGTTGGCAAGCAGCCCTAAAAATAATGACACCTGCTTGCTAGAAATCATTACAGGACAATGCGGGTTTCTGTTCTTTAAATAAGAGCTTTCCAGATCTAAACATTTACACTACTTTTGGTTTATTATAGCTTTTATTTAAATGGAACCACACCATAAAGAACTCTCAACTGAGTGTTTGCTGTTCTTACAACAGCTTTTTATTGATTCAGTTTGTGCCTCAAAATGCAGACCCATATCTGGAAGCTCTATTCTTTTTTTTTTTTTTTTAATGTTCCTTCACCTGCTCTAATCTGCCTTTACTATCTTGTCCTTTGTGGCACAATAAAACTCCAGGAGTCTTATTTTCTTTTGTTGTTGTTGTTGTTGTAACCCTCACAGCAAAATAGGGAAGTAATTTGTGCTTATAAATCTCAAGGCAACTAACTCTAGGGCATAAAAATGCAAATTACTGATGCTATCGGGGGATTGAAATTGGCTGCCATATAACCATATATTTTGTTAGTTCTAGCACGAACTACTTTGTTGATTTCTGGAAATTAGCTTTCCATGATTTCCTAGTAATTACTATATATCTGAATGACCATTTTACTCTCCCTGTACTCTCAATCACTGACATCTCTTTCCTGCCACTCTTATTCTTCATCAGCGGTTACTTTTCGCTTCTTTAAACTTACTATTTTCTTCTCAGGTGCCTTAGCTTTTTCAACAGCTCATCTTTTATCCCATTAAACCTCCTAAGTCTGATAACAAATGTTCTCTCTAGACAGACACCCCTCATGTTGTACAGGCAGAGATAGGAACTCTAATACTGAAATGAAACACATCCACGTTTTTAATAGGAATTTACAGACTCCTGAGAGAATTTCTCTGAAAACTAATAGTGTTTTAAAATCGTCACAGCACTAACAGAATTACATGCTGGAGTTCTGTAAAACCTCATGTAAGGGGAATTAATTATTTTTTTTCCTTCAGACATTAGTAACAGAAAAGGGTTAAAACCAACAGGTGCTTGCTTACTTCCCATTTTACCTTTTTCTTTACTTCATTAGAACTAGTTCATTATAGAGTGATGGCAATAAACGAACAGTTCACTGCCAGTGAAGCAAACACCCAAACTCACGATCTTCTTGCGGGAAGGCAGGGCACCTGAAGCACAGTGTTATGGTTAAATGGGACCTACCAGCTTCTTACAGGCTTTTGCTGTGCTTTTAATCTTCGTGATGCAGAAGTAGCCTGCCAAAGACAAGTTCCCGTTCATAATGAATTCAAGCAAGAATTTATTTCTAGTCATCTACTAATGAAGATACAAGAACAAATACACACCCTGCCTGTGTGGGTAGCTGTGGCTGTGGTTTGGGTTTTGTATTTAGAGATTGTTTTCGACATTAATATGCAAACTGACAGCAGCCCACAGAAGCCTGAAAAATTGCCAGTGCTGTCATTAGTTTCCCAGTGCTGGGTATGCTTGGCTGGGGATGAGGCCAAGTCCTGCTGTAGTGGAATTTTTACCACCAACTTCAGCGGGACTAGAATTTAACTTATCCATAAAACAGAAATTATCAAACAGCTCCTTAAGCTGGAATACGGAGAAGGTTGCTGCAGTGATAGGAGAGCAAACACAAATTTAAATGAACTGGCATACATAAAAAATATTGACCACTACAATACGACCTGGAATAGAGATCTACCTTTGAAAAGAGCTGGGAGGAAAGAGCCTTCACATTTCAAGAGTTTCCAAATTTCCACCCTCTTTCATGCTCTAGCAACTACTTTTCAGTGAGCGTAGGCTTGACAACTTCTACTCTGCTTTCAGGTTCACCCTCTCTAGCCCCAGAACTTCACCCACTGTAGCTCTTCTATGCTTGTTTTGCCAAAGGGACCTACTTTCATCAACAGCAGGTTTCCTACAGGCCTGCTCAAGTTGTCATTTTAAGTACCGATTTGCTTAATCCTGTCCTTTCAGACATGTTATCACTTCAACTGTGAGGGTCTGAATTCATTACACCATTCTTTCAGCAGAACAAAGTCTTGCTGAGAAAACAGACTAATTTTTTTTCAAAATCTGAAGGGAAAATAAAGGTCAGAATAACCACATTCTTCTGGCACCATCTACTGAAAGAAAAAGCAATCAAGAATAGTAAAAGGGCTAGGGTACACATAAGCAGATTCTGTCTTCCACTGCCTCAGGCATAGAAAAGCAAGAGAAAAAGACTGGGAAAAAAAAAAAAAAAAAAAAAAAAGGGAGTCTTTATCAAACTCCTTCATTATTTACTCCCATCCAGAGAATTTCAGAAGAGCTACTGCAAATGCCATCATTTGGTCTCTTCAGAAATACTGATGGAGATATTCTGGATCTTCAGATCTTGTATGTTGTTGATTTTGTTCACCCTCATCCATGAAAGATATACCTATGACTTGTGGAGGTACTCCTCATAGAATAAGCTTAACATGCCATTGATCAAAAATGAATGGTTGATACTCCAGCAGTCTTCAGAAAAAGCACACGTGAACCACTTGAGCCTGAAAGCTCAGTGTCCAGCGTGTGCAGAAGCAAACCTCCCTCCCAAACGCTCCTGGCAGGACTCCGCTTGCGTTTATCTAACATACAAACCCATCACTTCAGTCTTCGTCCTCCTCTCCTTTCACTGTTCAGGTCCCCATCTTAAAACCTCAAACTCTAACACCTTATATCCTTCACGCTTACCTCTGTTCAATCCATCCCATACTCGTGCTCCCACACTGTGTGGCCCTAATTCACTTATTTCCTACTTTTTCCCTGAATTAGTCTCTCAGCCTACTTAAGCATTTTCCTATATTCACTCACTATTTTTTCTGCCTCACTGTTGTCACTTCTACCTGTGGAAGTTCTAGGGAAGTTATAACCCACAATAAGAGAAAATGGAACATTTAATTTTGTGCAGTGAGAAAGTACAGCCAATTGCTAGGGAGACATTCTCTTTTATTATGTTCCCATTTTTCTTCTGACATAATGAGAAACTATGTTAAAAGAAAAAATTAAAAAAAAAAAAAAAAGCAACCAAGAGAACTCCAAATACATGCAAGAATAAGGCGGCAGCTATAGATTCTGTAAATGCTTGTCTTTTGGTTACAGTCCTCTCACCTAGAGCTGCTCCATATCTCTCAGCACCCCTCAAACGTGACCAATCCTCCTTAAAAAGAACAAACACGCGCACAAAAAAATACCTGAAAACTGTCAATCGTGGAAGGTGTTTTTGACACAGTCTGGGTGCAATACACTATTCAGCACTGTGTCTGGACTTTTGACAAAAGCTGCTCTGACTCAAAACAGACCAACAAAGTTATTTACAGCCCTACAATTACCCCTTATTTTCTTCCTCCAGAATGTTCTCAGCCTTCTCTTCATCTTATTTATTACTTTTTCTTCTTACTCATTGTCAAACGACAGAAGCTGACTTCTCTAATTTTCACACGGGAAATATACACTCAAATACTATAATGAGAATTCAGATATTCATTTCTATGTAGCCATTCTCAAGAATTTGAATTATCTTTCCTTTTTATTAGCTCCTGAAAGCCTCATGCAGGCTTTGGAAGATCTCGATTATCTAGCAGCCCTGGATAACGACGGAAACCTTTCTGAATTTGGAATTATTATGTCAGAATTTCCCCTGGATCCACAACTGTCAAAGTCAATTCTGGCTTCATGTGAATTTGAGTGTGTTGATGAAATGCTCACCATTGCAGCCATGGTAACAGGTATTCATAAATAATGTCTTAGTGCATGGCTTGTGCCACCTGCCAAATCCATGTTGACTCTTTCAAAGCCTATTCACAAGGGCAACCCAAAGGCAAACTTTTGTTATTCACATCCTGCTTATTTCAAGTAAATTAGTATCTTTGGCTGTTTAAGTCTTGACTTTAAGCATAAAATGAAACACAAGTACTGAATTCCTAAGTAGCACTCCATTTCCATGCTTCAGCTGCCCCACTAGCTTCCAGCCTTTTGTCAGACAGAACATCCCCTTCAAAACGAACTGTCTTATCTCATATTCATGTACATTCGTTACAGACTGGAGCAGCAAATTAGGGGAACTTCTAATTATAAACAATGTTGAGCTGTTGACCTGCAAAGAATTACTTTGCGATCTCGTTTCTCCACTTCAAATATTTTATAAAACTAACATAACCTTAAGTATTCATACCATGGATCACTCTGTTCCTTCATGGCACTGTGAGACAAACCAGCTGGTCCTAAGGATGGGACACATGAAGTCTGGAGCGAGAACATTTATATTAAAAGGCTGTTAAGCATAGAACTTCTTTCATTTGATGTGACAGAGCTTTCAAACCACCACATAAACCCCAGATATTTAAAACTTATTCATTCTGCGACAGCTGCTACTGAAATATTAATGCATCAAAGATTTTAGGTTAACTGAGAGGACTGTATCTCCAGAAGTAAACAATGATGATTACTTCTCAGGATCCCACCAGATAGTGCAGGACAGGGCTAGACTTATATTCTTTCAGGTCTCAGTGTTACATAGTGATGTTGGCTCCAGCAATATTTAGCTGTCTCGCTTCTCTCCACAGCAGCCTCTTAACCATACTGCACTCTGGTACTGATTTTATGGCATTACCCTAGTCCAGAACCACTGCTGGAGAGCTACCTACTGCTCAACAGCCACAGCTTAACCTGCCTGTAGAGGATGTTTTGGCATGGCATTACGGTGCCCTGCCCAGAGGGAATACCCTAGGCCCAGAAATTGGTGAGAAGTCTTCAGTAGCAAGGATGTGAACCTACAGGACACCAAGCTGCATTGGCTGTTCTCCTTACAGAACTACTTGGTTTTATACCTGAGCTGGCTTGATTTTTAATAGTGGGTCTAGACTCGTGACAATATTTTTAAGTACATACAACAAATGTAAACAATTAAGCATGGGGACACTTTAGTATTTAAAAAGCTTAACTATCTCGAAAGACACAATTATGTAGCACAGTACCGTGACAGAAGTAAAATATACTGGAAGGCACAAATTTCAACATACAGGAGTAAATTAGAGACATTACATGCATACTTAGTTTCTTCCTATATTAAAGAAACAGAACGCTTGGTTTCTCCATAAATTGGATCACGCCATTATGAGGTGGTTTTGGTATCAGTCTAGGGGTAAGCTGCTCACCTTCTTTTGTGTTTATAACACAAAATTAACTAAACAGATTGAAAGAACATCCACATAAATAAAACCTTAGTGAACTCGATAGATTCAGCTCTTCAGCAGCAAGATTAATGGGAATTGAGAAAGGAAAACAAAAATACCAGTGGAGTTGCTATTTGTGCATGCACCTACGTGTTTTAATAACCACTGGCTTGATTTTTTTCTAAGCTCCTAATTGCTTCTTACACGCACCTCCTGGAACAGAAGAGATTGCTCTTACTTGCTGGCGAAAATTCTCACACCCCGCAGGAGATCACTTTACTCTCATCAACATCTTCAATGCCTTCAAGGAAGCCAGCGCAAACTCCGCGAGCATGTGTAAGTGTACCCACAGCAGACAAAATGAAGCACATCGTAACCGATTTTGGAAAAAAAAAATAAAATAAATCTGAACAGACATTGTTAGTATCCAGCTCATAAACCCTTTTTGAATAGATTCCTTCTAGAATTGCTAATTTGCAGGGAGAAACCTAAGATAGTAGCCATTATAAAGGAGTATTAGTTTTAGTTTATTGACTGAAAATGACCTAGGATAGTGTACCTCATCCAACAAGGACACGTAAACACTATTGTCATTTGAAGTGACATTGTACAAAATCAGACTGATAGTTCCTCCTGTAAGAGCACATAATGCAGGTTTAAGATGTGAAACGACAAACACAGTTGAGGAGGGACTTGATTCCCACAGCAGCGTAACAATTCTGGTGTTTTTCTGACAGCTGTCAACTACAAGGAAAGTTTAAGGGAAAAAATTGAAAGTAGTAGAAGTTCACATTTACCGGAAACCAAATAAAAGCCAGGGGACTGCACTGCAGACACAAGCTCTTCACAGCAATTTCCTGTGCTCAGGTTCATTTAGGCCAAGCCCAGTACTTAGACAGCAGTCTGATAAATTTGCAAATACTCTTAATAAAAACTTAGGACACGACAGTAGGGTTGTTTCCCGTTCAGTCATGCTGAATGCTGGAGAGGTTCAAGAGAAGCAGGTAGGATCATCACTAGCACTGCAGATGTGATTGCAGTTCTATATCCTGATCTGAATCCAAAAAGCCTGAAAATAGAGTTGCTACTCGTTCTATTTGAAGCTATTACTTTTTACAGACCAAATAAGGGATTTTGACTATTTCTATTCAGAAAGATATAGCTAAAATTCTATAAAACTAAGTAAGGATATCAAGTATAGCCCATTCACTTTACAAGCAACATCAATGAGCCTAAGCTGTCCATATGGCTCTTGTTATCAGAATTTTGGACAGCTCTGACACAGCTACTCGCTCCAAAATGTTTTTAATCTATTGTAACAGTCAAAGAGCATTTTACAGAGCAGTATCTCTGTGGATAGTACCTATCAGTAAGACTTTGCTTTAAGCCAAAATACTGTTTTTCCTCCACAGACTACAGTAATGAGAAATGGTGTCGTGATTATTTTCTAAGCTGTTCCGCACTGAGGATGGCAGAAATTATCAGAGCCGAACTAGTAGAGATTATGAAGCGTATTGAACTGCCCATTTCAGAACCGGACTTTGGATCAAAGGAAAATATACTAAGCATTAAGAAATCTCTCTTATCTGGTTACTTTATGCACGTAAGGAAAAATATTGTCGTTTCATCTTACTCCACTGTTAAGTTATATAGAATGCTTTCAGAGACTTAAGTTGGGTAGTGAAATCTCTCAATCATCAGAAAGGATACAAGCCATTTTTTTTCCACCGTGTATCAAACATTTCTGTCAATTCCAATCTTCCCTCTGGTGTTCAGCCTATCACAGTGTGATGTCCACACACTTCACTGCAAGAGGAAAACTCTCAATATGCCCTTTCACTCAAGGAACTCTTCTTACCTCAAAAAATTCTTTAACTTGTAATATTCTCTCAGATATTATTTCCTTTTTAAAGATGTTTTTGGGAAAATATCCTGGAAACAAAGAATTGGCTCGTTGAATATATTTAGGTATGCCTAATATACAGCTTTCTTCATCTCAACCAAATGAGGTACTGTAACTGTAAACATATACAAGAAAGATTTAATCCCACTTAAAATAATGCTTTTCTTCACATCATTATGCTCCACCTAAATACAACCCCTCCAAACTACATGACTTTGAGTGCCCTGCCACATATTGTATTCTAAAGTCTTATAACTCTTTAAGAACACATCTGTTTTCACAGACACATCAAAGCCAAATTCAGATACTTACTGTATAAGCCTGCCATCATTTGTTGCAGTTTCCTTTCAAAAATACAGATCAACATTTTCTTTAAGCCTCATCGCATAGCATCCAGTCCCTAGCTTTCCCACAGAAATTTGGGAAGAGGTTCAGGCTCTCCAGTTGAAAGTATATGAATATAACTTTAATTCCTGGTTTTAATATAAATAGGCAAACATTGATCTGTGTCTTGTGCATTTAATTAAGTAATGGATAACTCTCTGCATTTATTTTTTTTTTTAGATTGCTCGTGATGTAGATGGCTCAGGTAACTACTTAATGTTAACACACAGACAAGTGGCCCAGCTTCATCCCTTCTCATCATATTGTAACACCAGAAGGATTCCTGAGTGGGTTTTATTCCACGAGTTTAGTATATCAGAAGATAATTCTATCAGAGTCGTCTCTGAGATATCACCCAATCTGTAAGTTAACAGTGATGAAACTTTCTTCACTCATTCTTCTACCACAAAAACATAATTTAAGTCACAAACAGGGTAAGGCTGTGTGTGTGTGCTGAGAGCAATGCTTGAAGTCAACTCTGGTCATCTTCTCCTCTTCCTTTATCTCTGTCATAAAAATAGTTACCTTCTGGTTCTGTTAAGAAAACATTCCAAGCAGAATTGATTCACTCCAGGCGCGGATGTGGGTTAAAAAAAAAAAAAAAAAAAAAAAAAAAAAAAAAAAATCTGTAAAATAGGCATAAGAGAAAAGGACAATCTTCATACCTAATCAGGCAACAGGAGCCTGGTACATCACTGTACCAGGACATCACTGGTACAGTGAAGAAATTGTTGCTTTTCACACCTTCTATATTCATTAGTGAATATATGTGGGGTAAATGTTACTTCTCTGTTGCCAGTATGGTTCTCTTTGTTCTGTCACTGTGTGCAGCTTTGCTTGATATGTTCATTTTCCTTCAGAAACCTCACTGCATTAGAGCTCAGAACTATTAAAGAAGGGGAAGAATTGTGATCTCACGCCCTTACTGTTCTTCTCATGCAAAACAAAACATTTAAATCAGCCTTTTGTATTTCCTAACGTGTGCTGATCTGTTCAGGTACTGAAGTAAGTCTCAGCGTCTGCCACTGTAACTGATCAGTTCATCTGTCGAAAAAACACCTTACAAGTTGCTGAAGGTTCTTACAAAGTAAGATATACAGAAAAAAAACCCGAAGAGTTCACACAGCACTGTACTCCTAGATTAATCTAGCTGGAAATTTCTTTGTTCCCTGAAAAGCTATTTTCCAGCAAATCTTTTTCTCGACATGTTTTATGTACCCAGCCAGTTAAATCATCCCATAACAACTATTTACGGATGCAAGACTACAGTCTTCTGCAAACATCTCTTTAAACTGAGAATATACATTTCACTAACCTGTCTTTTCTATTTCCAATGTTTATAAGAAAGCCTTTTTAATAATTTTATCGAGTAAAAGTGTCCAAATCCAGAAAAAATATTATTTAATGCAACCTGCAGCATTGAAAACTGAACAACAATCACCTGAAGTGCAGCCTGAGTACATTAAGTGCAAGTCTACTGAAAGCACAAACTACTCTGACAACTTGCAGAGAGTTCTGGTTCTGAGCTGAAATGCCAACTTTGTAGCTGTATGCATTAGCATGTTGCTGATGGCTTTTGTACAAGCCTAGAAATAGCTACTCAAACATTTCAAAATTCAGTTAAAAAATAATAATATTTTGTCTTATTTCTTCACCAGATTCGTGGAGCTGGTACCTCAGTACTATTTTAGCAATCTTCCTCCTAGTGAAAGTAAAGATATTCTGCAGGAAGTGATCAATCACTTGTCACCTGTTTCAACCATGAAGGAGGAACAGAAAACTAACAATGACAACAAAGAAAATGAAAAATTTTCCCAAACTCCCACTGAACAAAGATGTATTATTCAGTGATTTTAGACTGAACTATTGCATATCAGTCAAATACAAATAAAAGCAGTATATGCAATATACAGCCCCATCTTAACCAATGCAATTATTTCAAACTGTTGACATAAATGTATTTCACAGCAGAAACATCTAGAAAAAGCACTTTTTCTTAACAAAAGGAGTTGTATGCACTGTTTTGCAAAAAAATATAGGATTTTGTTTTGGTTAAAAACATACTGAGCAAATTTAAATTTTCTTGTAACACTGGGGTTTTATTGACTGCTTAATGATGATACCAAAGTATAATAAGATACAGTATTTAAAAATATTAATTTGATGGATATTTTTAGTCGAAACACCTATTTGTCCTCTAAGTGTACAGAGGAAGCATTTGAGCAGTAAAAACCCATTAATTCAAGAGCAGTCTTCTGAAAATATCGTGAAGTCCTAGTTCTGAACGGCTGCTTTACCAAAAAAAGGTGTTCATAGGGAAGTTCAAAGTGAGAGATAGTCTCTGAGTTTATCCATAATTACATTAATTCCATCAGCTGGAACTATCATCACAGTCCGCAAAGGTTTCATTGGTACATCATCAAAGGACCATCTGCCGCCCAAGCAGGTGTCACTTTCCTCTTGCACAGAGTAGTTGAACTTCAGAAGGGCTTTCTAAACAACAGAAATAAATGCATTAGGATTAAAATTTTTAATTAGCATGAAGATAATACATTGTCTAAACAACGTAAAAATAATTACCCTGTTATGGACATGCTTATTAAGAAGTTATTTCTTTACCTCTTAAAAGGTCCACCAAAAAACCTACAGGAGAATCCACTACAAAGTGTTTTAAACCATTTGCTTTTCACAGAATTTACATAATTCATATTACATTCTAAAATGATTGCTGTCATTATGGTTTGGTGTCAGAAAAAAGACTCAAGAGGAAAAAAAAAAACCCAACAATGCCTCCTTTATATGCATATGTGCCTCATTTTACATGGTTTTAAGCCAGCATTTTACTCCATATTACCACAGTAAGAAATGTCAACCCTTAGTTTTGCCAACTAGCAGGGATTCTTGACCAGTAACAGGAGTATCTTAACAGACCTTCAATCCTGGAATAAGAGTAAGTCACTAACTGTGTAATTTTGAGAACTGGCAGATCAGCCAAAACCCAGATAAAAA